TCGGAGCGGCAGCGCGGCGGAGCCGAACGGGGACAGCCACCCAGCGATCTGCCTCGGAGGGGATGCGGGAACCCACACCGCTCGAACAGCCGATCGGGGGCCGCTTCCCAGACTTGAGCCGGGGGAGGCACAGCCAGTAACCGGCGAGCGACCTCTCCCTTCACCCTCCTGCAGTGAATTTCTGTGAATTTCGATCAATTAGAGGGAGTGGGGCTTGTGCCGGGGGAGAAGGAAAACACTTCGTGGAGGCGGACCGGGGACCCTTCGCCGCCCTCGCGCCCCTCCCGCTCCCCTACGCCCTCGAGGCCCAGTGGCTCTGCGCGCCGGAGTCCGCCGCGGAGACTGGGCTGCCGCGGGGACCGCCGCGGGCTCGGCACCGGCTCCCGGGCTCAACACTGCCACTATCTGACACAACAGGAGCAGTGTTGGGGGAACTGCGCGCCGAGGCGCGAGATGTGATAGGCTCTGAAACTGGGTGCATTTTTTTAACCTGGTAATTACATTTCAGGGGGTAATATTTTTGTTAAGCGACATGTATGCATTCAGATGCTTATGTGCATTTTCTCGTTATTCACCAAAATTCGACAGTTGATGAGGGGAAAGACACTGAGAGATGACGTTGGCATGCACTTCTCTATTAAGGATGGTGAAAAGAATAAGGTGGAATGTCTTCACTTCATACAAAATATAGTGGTATTTTAATCTCTTTGACTATTTGCATTGGGACTGCAAAAGTGGACCTATTCAGGCCACTCAGTTGCAACCCCAGGCAACTGAGGAATGTAACCCCTCAGGGGTGTTTCTACATTATAGGACAGATAGGGATTCAGGAAGGTTTGCAAGTGGTTTTGCTTAAAGACCTTGTGTAGAGTTTACTCAAAACTCGGATTGTGAGAGAACTCCTGCTTACCACGTTTTATATTGAGAGTTCTGGGACTTTGGATTGAGGAATGATTTGGTAGTGATTGGGAATGACCCCCACCAGCCACATCAGCCACTGAAGACCTGGGTTGCCTGCTCGTGTGAATTCTGTCACAGAGCTTCTTCACTCTCATCACTCTTTTCACAGGAATGATGTAATGAAGTACAGCAACGGAGACTGGCTCTGAGGACCCCCTAACTCCCAACCTGGTCCATGTCCCTGGATCAGGTTCAGTGTGATTCTGAAAAGGTCACTGCCCTCTGACCAAAGTGCCCTTGCTGTCTTCTTTTTTTCAGAGAAATGTTCTGATTGGCCAAAAACGTTTCCTCTGTTACTCATCACTGCAAGACCTCTGTTAGAGCAATGTTTCAATAGGTCTTCTGTTAACCCTATACTGGAGTACTGTTTTTATTAGTGGGAAGGTAATGCTTAATTAGGGGAAAAAATCAGCAGGGCATATGAACTGATAATAGAAATAAAGATCGAGGCACAAAATTTGATGTCAAAAACAAAGATTCTGTGCAATCAGATGACCTTTGCCTGATTCCTTCTGTACCTAGATTTCTGAAATCCTATAACAAAGCCCTCAGAGGACTAAGATAGCATGTGGGATTTTGCCTACACTTTCCAAATAGAGAAACTGAGCTCCAGAAATCAGAAGGGTTTGCCCATGAGCATATGGCTGGCTGGTGTCATCTGAACCAGAACTAAAGCTTGTTGCCCAAGTCCTTTCCCTTCTTAACCTTAGCATATTTACAGGGTCTTCCATCCTGTGTTGTTGTGTTTCTTTGAAGAGCAGCTTAGAGAGCACATGGCATATTAAAAATTCACTATAATAGATGGTAAGTCTACAGCATTATGGTGCAGTAAAAGTTTACCTGAGAGATCACTTAGTCAAACCCCATCATCTTAAAATTGAGGAAACAGAGACAGAGATGCAGTGGACTGCTCCAAGTCATTAAATTAAGGCAAAGCCATAGACAGACTCTATGTCCTGTGACTTCTCAGTCAATGTTCCTTCCATACATGTAGCCCATTTTTTGATCATGAGGGTGAGAGGAGGGGACGGAAAGAGGGGTCTTCTCACTCTTTGTTTTATATAGCTATATATAAAGCACACATACATATGCACATATATATATCTATGTATATCTACATATACTAACATGCATTACATATACTGTATTTTGGATATATTTTAAATTTTAAGCATATAATAACATTAATAATATAATAATATAATTTTTGTATATAATAATAAGGGATTCCTGAAAAAACTAAAGCCACACCCGTGAACAATATGTTTATTGATGGAATGGGGCCTGTATTCAAATACTAGCTAAATATCACAGGAATTCTTTTTTTTTTTTTTTTTTGGTACGCGGGCCTCTCACTGCTGTGACCTCTCCCGTTGCGGAGCACAGGCTTCGG